AGATGCATTTTATGATTGGGAGAGAGGAGGCAGTAATATTTTTGAGACATTTTTACCGATAAAGGAAGGATGAGCGATTGTGAGTTATTGCTTCTGCGATATCTTTCTTCCACTTAGTATTTTGGAGATAAATAATATCTTCAAGTGCACATGAATCATACTGTAGCAAAGTTGCATTTATTTTCTAAGAATTTCAATCTTTTATATCTAATATGGATACCCCAGTGATTCACATGTATACATTTGTAAATTATAAATTTATAAAGGCCCATTCTCACTTAGGATTCTCAAGCATGCTCAGTTGAAGGCACTGTGGAAAATTCACTGCCTATTTCTGTCTAACCAGCAAGGGAAAAATATTCCTGATTATTTTGATCTGTATTATTCTTCATTGTAATGAAGAAAAAAAATGACATAAAAATTTTAAATATGTGTTCAGAGATCCATTGATCTGGTGATGGAGGACAGCAAGCAAGAGATAATATTCACTATCCACTTATCTTATCACACTCATGTCTGTATAAAAGCATTTAGTGTTATTCCTGTTTAAACATCTCCTTTCATGTGCTTGTTGCTATATTAGCCCTTCTGTTGTATAAAGTCTAGTTTCATAGCAAAGCCTTACCGAGAAGCTGCTAATACTCATCCCTTTATTTTTATGTATGTTTCTGTCTGATAAAGTACAAATAGAATATGCATTTTAAACTCAGATTTATGGATGCCCATAGATGTAGTTATTGAGATGCTATAAAGCAGGGGTGTCAAACTCACATCATCACAGCGGCGTCATGTGACGTATCGGGATTTTTTCCCCTTTCGCTGAACCGGGCAGGGCCGGGGCCCGCGGGCCATGAGTTTGACACTCCTGCTATAAAGAGTTTGGAATAGTGGTTCTAGTAATGGCAATTAAATATAGAACTATTTCTGTGGGAGAAGAGCCATCATGATATGGAAATTCTGTGGCACTTTTCCTGGGGAGAATTAATGAAAGGAAGAAAGTCTTCTACCCATTTCTTGTTCATTTTGCAGATGCTTGACCACTAGCCAGCATATGTTCTTCCCTGGAGTCTAAGACATATTTATAATTACAATCGAAATGCTCTAAAAATGACTTCAAGGACAACAGATTTAGAATTAGCCAGGGCACACATATGCTTTATTACTGTGCAGATTTAGTTAAAGTTTAGCTGATCAAATCATCATTTTTGCAGTTAGATTATCATTTTTGTATGGAAAAATGTGTGAAATTCATAAGGCTATAGATTTTCTAGTTCTGCCTTGAAAATGTTCTTCACACTGTATTAAGATACCTACTTTGAAAAAAAATGTAGTTTGTAATCTTACATTTAGTTTTTATTTCTGTCTCATTGATAAACTCAAACAGAGCTGTCAAACTCAAGGCCTGCGGGCCAGATTTGGCCCACAGGGTGCTTAGATCTGAAATGCAGGATGCCCTGGAAATAGCAAAGGACTGGCCCATGGTGCCTCTGCCAGCAAAAATGGAGCCCGGGAGAGCCGCGCGTGCTCCATTTTCGCTGGCAAAGTGCTAGCAAAACAAACTAAAAACAAAACAAAAGGAAAATGTTTCCCCTTTTGCATTTGAGCATCCAAGAACAGATAGGAAAGGAGAAAGGGAAAGAGGAAAGGGGAAAAAAAGGAAAGATGGCAAGAGAGCAGGGAGGAAAAGAAGAAAAGAGGGGAAGGAAGAAGAAAGGAGATTGAAGAGCAAAGGAAAAAGAAGAAAAGGAAGGAAAGAAGATATAAAGAGAAGGAGGGTCTGAGGAAATTCCTGTCTTAGCATTTGATCACCACAGGTGCCCCCGATATGAGTAATATCGAGCTGGCCACACACACACACACCCCACAGCCATGCCCCGCCGAGTCAAACACAACTCTGATGCAGCCCTCAATGAAATCGAGTTTGACACTCCTAAACTCAAACAATGTGTGCCAGTGTGCTCACTGTTGAAAATGACAATGAAGATTATCTTAATCTTTAAAATTATCCCAAATAATCTGGGGATCACCTCAGAGCTATGAAAATGTTAGGATTACGTTTTCATTTAGGGGGTATGTGGAGAGAGAGAAAGAGAGAGAGAGACTATATAAATAAATATGTATATAATCTGCCCCTTACCCAAACTGAAGATGATTTATTGAAGAATGCATGGGTTTTTGTTTTGTTTTTTAAGAAAAGAGTAATATGAAGCATATGGATTCATTTAGGGAATTAGGGAAAAAAGAAATAGATGAAACAACATGACAAATTCCGTTGGCAGACATCTAAGTGATTATTTAAGCCCGCTTTAAACTCATGACAGCACACTTCCTCAATTCATTCTGTATTCCTTTGGTCATCTTGCCTGTCACTCAGAACACTTGCTATGCAGCACCATGCATCTGGTGATGAATTCTTTCAGGGCACTGAAAATCCCGGCTTGAAAAGATAAAAGGCAATCAAAACAGCTAATGCAGACGATTTACAAATTGCACATGAAATCACTGGAATGTTTAACTTTTTTAAAAATCTCTCTCATGCTGGGTGTCATAGTCATAGTTTGAACAAAACCCTTCCTCTGTCTGCCCTTCCCCCATTTCTGATGCGTGACCTGTTTCTTTTTTGTAAGGAGTGAAATATAGAGAATAGAGCTGGAAGGCACCTTGGAGGTCTTCCAATCTATCCCCAGGTCAAGCGGAGATCCTATACTATTTCAGACAAGTGGCTGTCCAATCTCTTCTTAAAAACCTTCAGTGATGAAGCACCCACTACTTCTGAAGTCAAGCTGTTCCACTGGTTAATTGTTGTCACTGTTAGTTTCTCCTTAATTCCAGCTTGCTTCTCTCCTTGATTAGTTTCCAACCATTGTTTCTTGTCCTGCCTTCTGGTGCTTTGGAAAATAAGATGACCCCCCCCCCCTCTTCTTTGTGGCAGCCCCTCAAATACTGGAATAATGTTATCATGTCACCTTAGTCTTTCTTTTCTCTAGACTAGCCATACCCAGTTCCTGTAACCATTCTTCATATGTTTGAGTCTCCAAGCCCTTAATCATCTTAGTTGCTCTTCTCTGCACTTTTTCCAAAGTCTCAATATTTGTGGTGACCAAAACTGGATGCAGTATTCCAGATGTGGTTTTATTAAGATTTTATAAAGTGGTATTAATGGTAATGAAAATGATGGTGATAAGCATAATATTCTTAGAAATAGAAAAGACTAGCTTACTTTCCATTATTATATTAAACATACTGATATGTCTGGTAGGTGAAAGCATGTGGAGCAGACTCTACAATTTGGTAGAAGAATTGTTCCAATTTGTTTAAAGTAGCAGTTGCTTCAAGAGAAAAATTAAAATGGGAATTCTTGCCTTCTTTTCTGATTTAATGAATTGTTCGTTCCTGATTTTATGGTTGGAAACTGTGGTTGGAAACTGATATGCATTAACCTGCCAATAATCCTCATGAGTCTCAGTGAAATCATTCTCTCTATAGGTGTGCATGCAATCAGACAGTAATAATATAATCTAATTCTGTCTATACTTATTCATAATGAAAGTGTGTTAAATTAAATTGAACTTTCTTTGTAATATGCATGCATAGGTTTGCTGCCTGAGGTTGCAATCCTATTTTCATTCATAAAAGAAGTAATAAATTCCATTAAATACACTGACTCTTACAATATGTTATATTCCACCAGTTACCTATCGGGCAACCAACCTAGTAGTTTTTCCTTATAAGTATTCCAGACTTGGAGGATTTGAAGTCTGCTCCCCCCTCCCCCCGCCTCATTTCTCTGTAAGAAAATTAATTTGAGAAAAGAAGCATCTGGAAGGGGGATTTTAAACCTCTGATCAGCATCTGAATTAAAGTATCATGAGGCCACTTTAGAGGAAAATAAAAACAAGACTCCACCAAAAATTGTGCTGGAAAGTACGAAGTTTAATTCTAAACTTCTAGGGTTTGCTTTGCATACATCTAAGTTTTTCAGTATTTTTCTAGGGGACTTGGATTATCTATTTGTTTGTATTATATCTCACCTGTTGTTCAAGAGTTCAAGGTGATATTTTGCTCCAACTCAACAATGATGTGAGTTAGGATGTAAATGAGACAGAATGACAGGCCCCAAATCACCTCCCTGCCTCATTTTCCCCAGTTCCTGACCAAGTAGCACTCCAGTCTTGCAATTAATTTCTGTCATGAGGATCTTTTGAATACTGTTTAATCTCTGAACAATCCTGTTTACATACAATGTCCCTGTTACAGTCTTAAAACATTTCTGTTATATTTAAGCAAATGATATCATTCCTAGTTTAATCATCATTTTCTAGAACAGTGTTTCCCAACCTTGACAATTCTAAGATGTGTTGACTTCAACTTCCAAAGTATGCTGTCTGAGGAATTTCGGAAGTTGAAATCCACATATTATAACATTGCTAAATTTGGGAAACACTGTTCTAAGGTGAAGTGATTGGTGAAAATAATCAGGAACTTTTCCTTTTGACTGTGTCCTTTTTAAACTCCCCCTTTTGTTTATATAAAAGATATCCCACTGGAACATACACTGATTCCCATCAATTGTGATTTAGACAATCTTGTATGTCCTTTGTTCAATGAAGAAAAGAGAAAATTCTAGAGCCAAATCCAAGAAGGTGCAAGACCACATTGGTGTCCTGCATTTAAAACAAAAACAAAAAAAACTAAGCCAGCATTATTTGAACACGTGAAGGCATAACAAATTGCCTAAGGAATTAATGAGAAGTGATTGACTTCTCTAGAAAATTGCCTTCAATTTTAGGATAAATTATTTATATCAACTTACAGTGAAGAATTAATGAACACAGACCATAATATTAATTGCTCAATATATTTTGTTTTTCTTTTCTTGGTTTGAAAACAGAAAAAGCAAACAATAATTTTCAGGTTTTCTCATTGGTACTGCAGTTTATAAAGTTTTTTGAAAATAAAAATATGCTAATCAAAATTCCACTTGTTATTTTTCCCCCCAGCTCTCGTAAATGTGAAACTTTGGGCTATTGATCGGCAATGTTTCCAAACAATAATGATGAGGACTGGCCTTATCAAGCATACAGAATATATGGAATTTTTAAAAAGGTATGGCACTGGTTTATGTATTTGTCTTTTGGAAGCATGCTTCATTTATTGCCCTGCTTGGAGAAATATATATATATATAGTCTTGTTGGAGGAGGAGCTTGTGAATGAGTGCTCATTTCAATTCATCATTTTTAATTTGCTCTTTTAATTATATTAATGGCATAAGAGCTTGAAAATAGGGAGCAGTGATTAAAGATCTCAGATTAATTATTGTTTGCCTTTTATCATAGTAGTTATTCCTCTTAAGCAGTGGTGGGATTCCAATTTTTTACTACCGGTTCTGTGGGCGTGCCTTGGTGGACGTGGCAGGGGAAGGATACTGTAAAATTTCCAGTCAGAGGTGGTATTTGCCAGTTCTCCAAACTACTCAAAATTTCCACTACCAGTTCTCCAGAATTGGTCAGAACCTGCTGAACCTCTGCTCTTAAGGCTGATAGTAGAAAAGTAAGTAACAATAAATACATAGAAAGAACAATTTTTACAGATCCATTAGGAATTTCTCTTTTAAAAACAGATTTATTCAAGATATAAAATAATTATGTTTCTTAAAACATTATATGACCTAATGCTTTTTAAAGTAATATTTAATAATAGTATACTTTAAAAATATGTATTTGTATCTCTCAGATAAAGGTATTACTGTTTGCTTTGGGGATGTACAAAATGGAACGTAAATGAGTTAGAAAAGCAAAGAGATTTAACTATGTGTATTTTAATTTTATTAAATTTGAATTTAAGCCTCTTGAAAAGGATTCAAGTAGTTTTGATTTCCCTAATGTAGTATCAAAGTGTCAGAAAGTTGAGATATATAATTATACAAGAATCAAATATATTAACATAAATCTCCTTTAATTAAAAGTTATTTAAAGGATGGAAATACTGTATAAGCTCCTTCATTTAGAAAAGAAAAAGAACACAACTAGAAAGGTTTAAGTATCCATCAGGTCACTGGGGTTGTCCGGGTAAAGAGAATTCTCTTTTTTTCAGTGTTTTAATACTGCATTCAATGGGAGAGGGGGAAAGCAACCTGTGGAAAATGAGAAGTCATTAATAGCAATAGCACTTAGACTTATATACTGCTTTACAGTGCTTTACAGTCCTCTCTAAGCAGGTTACAGAGTCAGCATATTCAACAATCTGGGTCTTCATTTTACCGACCTCGGAAGGATGGAAGGCTGAGTCAACCTTAATAATAAAGATGCAGTTTAATTTATGATTGGATAGGCATATCTTGTGCACACAAAAATTGATGAGTCATATTCTTGTGTGGAGGGGAAATACGTTCCACTGAAATCAGTGTACTGCACTCCATTTTTGTCTTAAATCTAATTGATTGTGTTGTATTTGAGGCTGCTCTTTAATGGCATTGGAAAAAACAGTGCTCTGGTATCGCAATGTTTCTGTCTTGGTCTGGGGACAACATGAAAGCAGTGGTGTAGGCAATTACACAAAACCCAAGTTTCCAGGATATGGTACTGTGATGGTTAGGTACAAGTAGAACCTAATCATAAATAACATAAACTAGTTAAGATAAACATAAAAATCCTGCTTAGCCTTTAAAAAGGATTCTGATCTGTTGATTAGATGGCTTGAAAACTATTATATTAAGAATTTCTGTAGCCCTCAAACTGAACCTTTATTATGATCATAAATCAAAATAAGGAGGGTAGGTACAAAGAACTAAAAAGCATGAAAGATATACATTTTTAAAGAAAACATATAAAAACTAAAATCAAAATCAAAATCAAAAAGGAATTTAAAAAGAATCCAAAAGGAGTAGTAGAGCAATAGGGGGATATGGGGGACCATGGCAAATTAAATATATCATAATAAAAATTACTAATAGGAGCTAAGTGCTTATTAAAGCTGGTTTATGGCACAAGTCATCTTCTGACAGATTTCAAGTGCAGCTGTATAGAACCTGGAAACATTGTATGTTATAGTAGGGTTGGGGGCAGCAAGTAGAAGGGGGTGCATATTCTGTGGTTTCTATAGGTCCAAAATCATGAGACAGGGTCTTTCTGAGTAGGGGAATCTTCTTGTATTGGTCTTCAAGTACAGCTAAGGAGACGGTATGATACTGTGCCGCAGTAAAGGCCCTTTGGTGGTTAGGTTGTGTGAGGTTACTTAAGTATGCCATAGGGGACACAGAATTTCTGTTGGGTTTACTGTCAGTAAAGGCTGAGAACTTAGCTACACGCTATTTAATGAATGCTTTGGCCTGATCATATCTTGTGTGAAGTAGAAGGCCTGGAGGGAAGCCCAAGGATGAGATTTTAGTTGCCACTGCCTCTTTTCATTTGGATTGAAAATCATCACTCATAGTTAATGGGACAAGATCAAAGGGGAGAACAGGATAGTCTGAGCCAGGAGTTGAGCATGGTCACCTACACTCTAGAGTCTACTTTAATGAGGTCTATGCCTAGCCTTTGGGTAGCATTTGAGACATATTCTGGGGCTTGAAGGACCCAAAAGTTGGACTGAGTTTAATGGTGCAAAATTGGAAAAAGGGACCATCCGAGCACCATAGGGAAATTGTGATATTGGCTTAACTTCCAATAATTCAAGTGCTCCAGAAATGTACTGACCATTTCTTGTCTTGAGGAATTTATGGGTGGCAAATGAATTCTTTGGCAGAATGTAAGACTACTTCCTGATATTTGAATCAGGAGATCTGCTCCATCTTGTGGCCATTTATCTTCAAGGGTTGATTTTGGAGTCTTTTGGCAAATGCCATAATTTTGATTTTCTGATCATTGGGTTCTAGCTGGTCTTCCTTGCAATATTGTGTTAGTTTTCTCATTGCTCTTGTATGACCAATAGGGGTTCTTGAGACTACTGTGGATCATCTGCATAGAGTAAAATAGAGAAGATCCTGCAAGCTAGTTTTGAGGAGTGAAAATTTTTGTTGAGGCCCATCATATAATAAGAGGGAAGCCAATATACAACCTTGCTGTACACCTTTCTCAGTTCCAATGGCATTGGTGAGATGATTTTCGGGGTTATATCTTACTTTGCATGACCTCCCTTCATCAAACTTACTATTAAATGAAATACACATCTAAGTCTCTAGTTTCTATCTCATTGGGGACATATAAATATTATCAACTGGGCATTGTGATTGGATTAATGCAGCAATGGCATATGCCTTGAGTGGAGAGAGGTGCTTTGATATGGAATGTAGTGGAGTGGAGACTTGAATCCTCAGATCTCCTTTTGCTCTACCATGCTGCTGGCCCTGTCTTGCTCATCAGTCAATGAAATCCATTTAATAGCATGTTATCAACAGTCCATGTTTTCTGGACCAGTATGATATCATAGCAGGAGAGGAAGCTAGTAAATGGGGAATCTCTAAATGGGGATCAGTAAGCAGGGATCAGTAAGCAGGGATCACCAAACCACATTCCAAGTTGGAAGTACAACTTTATGGTGGTCATTTGGATGTCAAATACTGAAAACCTGGGACTGAGTGAGTGAGTTTTGCAAGAGCAATAGCTTCATATTAGTTGATGGTTGAAGTGGTTGTAGTTGCATTTTCCTCTGTGTGTGGTGGGGAGGGACGTGTGGCATCATCGATTTCCTGCTCTCCCTTTTCTTGCAACAGTTTCTTCCAACTGGAAATAATGGAAACCGTTCGCCTAGGTAGATGATAGATGATAGATAGATAGATAGATAGATAGATAGATAGATAGATAGATAGATAGACAGATCACTCAAGAATAATAACCCTCAATACTTAGATTATAACTGCAGTTACTGTCTCCTTAATTCTCATTTTGCCTTGTCCTTGGCCAATGGTGGAAAAATGGAAAAAAGTAGGATAATTAAATATACTAATTAAGTTATTATCTTGTCTCCCTATTATACAAGCAACAGCTGATAATTAACTTTAGTTGAGCTAGGTTTCTATCTGTCTCTGTAAGAGAAATGATGATGTCTGTGGAATCTCAGCTCATTATTTAGCAAAGATCTCAAGAGGATGCTATTTTAAAGTTGTATTGTGAAATGTGCATCAGATAAAGACAAAAAAAAAACAAAAAACCATCCCACTTCTATTTGTATGTGGTACAAGATAAGTTAATCAATCTATCTCTTTTAGTTCCACTTCTCTTTATCAAAGGATCTATGGCATGTCAAGGGATGGATGGATGCAATCAATCGGTTTCTATCTTTTTCGGTTCCAAATGATTTCATTCATAAAACATTTCTGGCCTCTTTTACATCAGTCCCTGAATTAGCAAATGCATGAATGTCTTCAATGGATATCCAGTTGTGTTTTTTCACTGAGAGAACAGCATGGAACAAAGGGAAAGAAGACCATCCCATGCCTGCCAAATCTATTTTGGCGTGAGTGGTAACAAAACCGTAACAGCCCTCTATGGGAAGCACTTGGGCTGAGAGAGAAAGAGACTGGGCTGAGGTTGACCTGACCCTGGGTCTTCTCATTCCTAGCCCAACATCTTAATCACTATAGCAGGGCTGTCAAACTCACAGCCCGTGGGCCAGATGCGTCATGTGTCATGTACTGACCATGCCCCCGCCCAGTTTAGTGAAGGGGAAAAAGTCCTGATAGGTCACGTGGCACTACTGTGATGATGCAAGTTTGACACCCTGGCATTATGTCGGGTCTTCAAGTCAGGAGTAGACATAGCAAGGACAGTCTCAATGTATTTTATTGTTGTAGGATATGCTAACAGAATCTTGAAAATCTACTGAAGTTTCCCTGTAACCCCTTTACACTAAGCAGAATGAAACAGGATTATGAGTCTCTTTTCAATGTTTTTCTAGAAGTGAATTGTTTATTTTCTCTTAACAGTTTTTGCAAAACTTTACCCAAGCTATATCAGCATTCTATATATCTGTATCTAGATCTAGTTATACCTACACATTCCTTTATTGCTGCCTCTCCCCTATCCATCCCATTACTATGTCAATTGTTTGATATTACCTCAGAACAAGGAAAGAAATTCAATTTTACAGCAAAGTATTGAACATTATG